GTGTGTGTGTGTGTGTGTGTGTGTGTGTGTGTGTGTGTGTGTGTGTGTGAGAAGGAGTGGGAGTGGGGGAGGAAGTGTGGCCAGGACAAGAGAGTTTTTTTTCTTTTAAGATGAGACAACGTGACAGCTAGCTTTAGCTTAATTTGACAAGCTAGCATTCCTGAAAACATTTCTGAATGTTCTAAATAAATGACTGTTAAAAAGTAAAGTTTCATGATATACATGCAAACTCACATTTACCTGTTACAACATGTAACAACGTAAAGTTTAGGCAACAAACAGTTAAAATATGACTTTGGTCCAAAACAAAACAGAAATAATATATTTTCATTTCTGTTTGGTTGTTTCAATTAAAATTCACAAGACAGCTCAGTCTGGGACTGACGAATGTTCTGTCCTCCGAATCATTCAGGACACACACCACATCGCCCCAGACAGAAGCATCAACCCACCCCGGGCAGCAGAGGTGTCCGGGCGGCCTGACAAGAAAAACCCCTCCACTGTGGAGGCTCTATTTTAACTGAGGGCTTGTACACATGTAGCTGGATATCAGGAAAACCAAATAGTTTTTCATACGGTTTCGCCTTTCATCCACACATGAACTCTGTAGAGGTCACCTATGGGTGGAATAAACGTTCCACCTGGCTTTGACCCTGATCTCAGAAGACCTCCTTTAAGAGACAGAACTCTGTTTGAGTTAAAGTCATAACATGTTTTTTTAAACAGTAAAGAGACATTTTATTTTATTTTATTTTATCAAGATAATTAACAAAATTATAATCAGAGGTGCACATAACCGGTGCGCAGGTGCACTTGCGCGATCAAAAAAGGAAAAAGCGCACCAGATGGGACGTCATAAAGCTCCCTTGCGTACCTAAGATTGTACCTGATTGTCTGTCAAAACAACAGCTAGCAGCGCTCTAGAGTGCGACCAGTGTGGTCGCAAACGCGAACTGATTTCTTAAAAAAAAAAATCCAGCAGCACTGCTGTGAATGGATCGTTGTTCGGTGCGCCAGAGCGGGACCCTGATATAAGAATTAAACGGACCCTGCCTTCAACAAATCAGACAAAGTCCAGAGCCGTTTTCTCCAATCAGAGCAGAGCAGGGCAGGACTTTCAGTGAGAGCAAGTTTGGTTGAAGCAGCGGGCCGGCTCGACTCCAGCTGCTGCAGCTATCAGTCACATCTCCTCCTCTGCTCCTCCTGCACTTTGCTCCTGAACTACCAGAGACTTTGGTCTGTAAAACCTAACTTTATATTAAATATATGTTCAGAATGTTGTTATCAAACAGATCCGTCCACCTCTGTGTGAGTGACTAAACTCTCCTCCTGAGAGACTGCTGTATGAGCGCGTCGCTGCGCATGCAGGCTGTCTGTGAGATTCACTGAATTTTTCTAATTAAACACATTAACTAACAGAACATTTGTTTGCCCCAT